TACGATTTTCAGTTAATGATTCACCAAAGCTGCAAAATATTGACCATTTGCACAAAATTTAGCACAACGTACTGAAGTTGGTATAATCTGCTGTGTGGAATTGTGGATGTGTGGATTTCGCTGAAATCGGTTTAGATTTAGATATAACTCCCATATATAGTTTCGTCCGATTTTCAGTTTTTGGTCCACCAAAGCTACAAAATATTGCCCAATGGAACAACATTTTTCACAACGTACTGAAGGTGTAGAAAGTTTAGCTGAAATCGCTTCAGATTTTTATATAAGTCTGATTTTAAGTAAATGGTACACCAAAGTCACAATGTTAGTCCGTTTGCCACAAAATTTTGCATGAGGTACTGATGTTCGTATAGCCTAACGTGTGTCTAGTTTTGTTGAAATCGGTTTCGATTTAGATATAGCTATATACATATTTTCGTCCAGCAAATATTGAGTGCAGCAAAACCCAATAATATGGCCGAAAGACACACATTTTGACGTAATTGTGTTCTTTAGATAAGCAGATATAGCCCAAATATACTTTAGATCGACTTCATGTTAGTTGAGCTCCAAATAATCAACGGATATCAAACTGAAATTTTCTATAAATCGATTTATATCGTTTAATCCCATTGTAAACAAACGACCATATATATGTCCAAATAAAAAAAATCAGTCTAGGTTGCAGAATGACATGTTTATGGATTGATCTAATTCGGTTCACATTGATGCGATTTTTACGCATCTTTTTGTTCATCTAATTTCGTGTTAATGTTTCTTCAAAAATGCGAAGTCTGTTAGTTTGCATCTGCCGAATATACCCAAATTGGTGAATGGTATCATATAGTCGGCCCCACCCGACTTTACTACTTTACTTACTGGTTTTGTTTGAGCTTCTGATGGGCTAATTTTTTTTTATTCCTACAGCTCTATTTGGGGTTCTATCTTTCTTATTTCTATTTATTACGGTTATATAATAAATTAAAATTTTTTGCAATTTTGTTTACAAAAAAATTTTGTGGATATGATTGAGACAGCACTGAAAAATGTTGTGGGAGATTTAAAGTACAAAAATATTAGCCCTCGTATACACACTTTATAGATCTCAATTAGCAGGTTGCCATGTATTTAACATCCATCCAGATTTTCCGGCAGGTGAACAATTATACGAAACTTCACCATGTCCGCAAAAACAAAACCACTTGCCAATTGTAAAACAAGTCCCAGAACTGGTCAGCGCAGTAATAAACCCTCATACACCGAAAATAAAATTTTCGTCACCCCGACCAACTAACTAATGACCAAAGAAACGTGATGGTGTTAATTCGCAAAGACTATGAAATTTATATGACAATGCTTATTAACATCATCGAACGGTGGTCAGATGAAGAAAACAAAAAAGAAACATCAAAATAATAATATAATAATAATACTGATATTTTTGGTAGTGAGATTTGACAGACAATGAGAATACAAAATAATAATAAAAATCCAATTATAGTCAATTCGGTTGAGTCAATTTATGCATGTCCGTCCGTCTATTTGGTCCAAAGACGAACCCTGTTTAAATTGAGAAAAATCGGTTCAGATTTAGATACAGCTCCCATATACATTTGGATATATCTCACATATATATTTTCGTTTTGATTTGTACGAAATTTGGCATAGTGTACTGAATTAAGTCTAGAATGATGTGTGTTAAGTTTCGTGAAAATCGGTTCAGATTGAGATAAAGCTCCTATATATTTGTTTTCTCCGATGTTAATATGGCGTATATGCACAAAATGTGCTAATATTAGTTTAGATATAGCTTCTATTAATATTTTCATCAGATTTTATTGGTTAGTATTAATAATTATACCCTACACAACTACGTTGTCAGGGTATTATAGCTTTGTGCAGCCCCAAGAGTTTGTAACACCGCGAAATATTGGTCCTAGACCTTTATGTATACCGATCGTCATATCTCGACTAGCTGAGTCGATCTAGACATGCGTGTCCGTCTATCCATTATAATTCTTAAACACGATACAAGCCACAGTTATAGACCAATCTTCACGAAATTTTGCATGTAGGATGGGTTCTGGCCAATGAAGACCCCTATTGTTTTTGGTGGAGATCGCTTAATATTTAGGGGATGAAATGGACCAACTACTAAATTTTTGTCGGTTTTTCTGGTCGCTCCAGAGCCCGCAATTATAGCTCAAACATGGCGAAATTTTACATGGAGAAGGGGATCGGGCCAAAGAATAAGCATGCCTGTTTTGATAAAGATCGGTCAATATTTAGCGGGTCAAATGGACCCTGACTTTTGTGTGAAAAATTACAAAATTTGTATTATATAGCGTATATATTTACTTCTGAAGGACATAGACCCGAGAAGTTGATAATATATCGAAGAGGAGAGGTTGGCCTTTAAATTGATACCAATTATATTGTCGTATGTACTCGGATGGGGGAGTTACACGTACATATCTTCAGGTGCTTACGTATTCAGATATTATTTAGTAAACCATAACCACACTGGAGTGCGGAAATATAGAGCTGATTGCTTTGATAGGTTCCATGAGGTTCCAGTTATGGTCAAGGTCAACGCCTATAATTTTCGGCGATGATGAGATAATAATTTTGGGATGAAGTGGACCGAAAACTTAATTTTTTGTGTTTTTCGAGTCGATCTATAGTCCACAATTTAAAGCCGAACATCACAACACAACCCACGGTGAAGGGAATCTGGACAAGTAATTAGAAGGGCTGTACTGAATATATGTAATATTTGTTGACCTCTAGTGTTCATAGTGTTCATGTTCAGTATATAGAACCAAAGAAAGTTAGATTTTCATCGAAGTTGTGTAGGGTATCATATGGTCGGCCCCGTCCGACTATACTGCTCCGCTCACTGGTTTTTGATACGTATATGTGTTATTCAATGAGGACCCAAAATACAAAATTACAGCGAAGGTGGTCGAAAACGTATCCAAAATACCCGTTATTGGGGGTTATTTCGGAACTTAGCTCAATAGTAATATTTTTTGGCACGGGGATGTGATATACCATGAGTACCCAAAATACCTAAATACAAGCAATTCGCTCCAAAATACCGAATATTTTGGGTACCGTTACGTTAGGGCTACACAAAAACCTGAACCGAAATATCCCATTTGAAATACCAAACATCTTAGTAGTACTAGCAATGTTTGTGCAAAATTACAGAGATTTATCTTAAATATTGCGATTTCTATCGTGATTTCAACATACGGACATGCGCAACGCAACATGAATATTATTCTGACCAAGAATATAAATACTTTATGGAGGCCCCCGGTGAATATTTCGAGGTGTTGGAAATGAAAATTTTTAATTTCCGAATATTGTGGGGTACCGTTATATGGGGGCTACAAAAGAAAGTGGTTTGATATATGCCATTTTCAATACCAAATATCCTATGAACAGTATATATGAATGCGCACATTTCATATATACTGTTGTGTGCTATATATCGATATATTAGAGCAGAAGTGACTCTACGTGTATCCATTGTTTCCTATATTAGTGGGTCTATATTGTTTCCTTCTGTATATTGCAAACATATGCAAATATACATTAAACTCTGTACCATAGAATGGTGCAGGGTACAAATCGTAATTTTTATACCCTTCACCACACTGTGGTACAGGGTATTATGTCTTTGTGCATATGTTTGTAACAGGCAAAAGGAAACGAGATAGGCACATGGTTCCTTTTGAGAATATGCATAGAATCACTTTCTGAGTCGATTTACGCATGTCCGTCTGTCCGTCCGTCTGTCCGTCCATGTATTTTTGTGAACAAAGTACAGGTCGCATTTTTGATCCGATTTGGATGAAATTTGGCATAGGTCACTTATTTGGCCCAAGGACGAACCCTATTGAAATTGGGAAAAATCGGTTCAGATTTAGATATAGCTCCCATATATATTTTCACCCGATATAGGCACCAAAGTACCTATATATCATTCGATTTGCACGAAATTTGGCATAGCGTACTGAATGAGGTCCAAAATGATGTGTGCTGAGTTTCGTGAAAATCGGGTCAGATTTAGATATAGCTCCCATATATATTTTCGCCCGATATAGGCACCAAAGTACCTATATATCATTCGATTTGCACGAAATTTGGCATAGTGTACTGAATTAGGTCCATAATGGTGTGTGCTGGGTTTCGTGAAAATCGGTTCAGATTTAGATATAGCTCCCATATATATTTTCGTCCGATTTAAGGTAAACGTGGCACCAAAGTACCTATATATCTTTCGATTTCCACGAAATTTGGCATAGCGTACTGAATTAGGTATAGAATGATGTGTGTTAAGTTTCCTGAAAATCGGTTCAGATTTAGATATAGCTCCCATATATATTTTCGTCCGATTTAATTTAAATGGTGCACCAAAGTCCCTATATATCTTTCGATTTGCACGAAAGTTGGCACATCGTAATCAATTAGGAATATAATGGTGTGTGTTAAGTTTCCTGAAAATCGGTCCAGATTTAGATATAGCTCCCATATATATTTTCATCCGATTTAATCTGAATGGTGCACCAATGTCCCTATATATCTTTCGATTTGCACCAAAGTTGGCACAGCGTAATGAATTAGTTATAGAATGGTGTGTGTTAAGTTTCCTGAAAATCGGTTCAGATTTAGATATAGCTCCTATATATATTTTCGTCCGATTTAATGTAAATGGTCTACCAAAGTCCCTATATATCTTTCGATTTGCACGAAATTTGGCACTGCGTTATGGATGAGGTCTGGAATGATGTGTGTTAAGTTTCCTGAAATCGTTGAAATCGGTTCAGATTTAGATATAGCTTCTATTTCATCTGTTGAATATGCTCAAAGTGGTGAAGGGTATCATATAGTCGGCCCCGTCCGACTTTACTACTTTCCTTACTGGTTAATATAAAATTATTGTATTGTTTTGCTAATATAGTCTTTATTATTCAATTTCATTCTCCCATTACTTATGGTGTAAAATCTTCATAGGAAATACCTTTAGCAGAGAGTTTCTCTGAAATCCAAGAACGTAAATGCGGGACATTTGCATAAACACCAGGAATATTTTCCTGACCACACTCGATACCCCATGCCACAATGCCGGCCTGATAAAACCGACCTGTTGTACCAGGCAATGGACATACCAAAGGTGATCCTCCATCACCTTTGCAGGTGTCTTTTCCCTTCTCACCGCCCGCACAAATAAAACTTTCATGCAGTTCATAACGCAATCCAAGACGAGTCTGCCGTAAATTCTCTTCACATTGGTCATGCGGAACAATGGGTAAATCAATTTTCTTTAATATCGTCTGATATTGGCCTTCTCTATTGAAGTTATCTTTACCCCAACCGGTGGCATAGCAACGTTGATTATCGACATTTATATTTGATTCTGGTAGGCAGATGGGTCGAATATTTTCCTGCCATTCGAAGGGTTCATTGAGAATCAGTAAAGCCACATCATTGTGTCCGGCACCTTTGTGGAATTGTTCATGTCGGATTATTTCATGTACCCTCCTATCGACATGTGGTAAAATTTCATTTTCGCTCTTAGTATCCCATTCACCGGCACGGACAATGAGCTCGTTAGGCTCAATTTTGATGACACAATGGGCACCGGTCAAGACTACATTTTTGGCTATCAGTGAACCACCACAGACATACATAAATGCAATTTCCCCATTAACATCCATGCTGCGTACGATGGCCACCATCCAAGGGAATTCTGCGAATTCGGCTTCATTATCGTAAGCGCCGGTAATTTTGAAACCAACGCCGATTTCGTTGCGCCAACCACAACCTTGGTGTACTATGGGCGGTTTGGGAGATACTACGGGAACCGTTGTCTAAAAAAAAAAACAAATATATATTTCTATAATTTAAAGCATATTAAGAAAAAATTTTAAGCATTACCTTTCTGCTTTGATCACAGCATATTTGATCGTAGGTACACACCGCATCATCAAGTCGAAAATCAATCACACCCACACCATGTTTACTTACGACACCATCCAGGCACAGATGTCGTGGAACACATTCTTTGTCAAGTCCACAAGCTTTATAGGATTTTTTCACTACGTTAGGTGATTCTGTCACTATTGTACCCGATGCTGGGGTAGTTGAATTCGGTTTACTTTTAAATATACTTTCTATTAATTCGAGTGGTATCACCTTGCCTGCCTGACCATGAACTGGGCAAAGAAGAAACATTAAGCCCAACCACACAATTGTCACTTTGGGCCGCATACTTCCAATGCTGTTGTGTAAACAAATTGAAAAAGTGGAATTGACTTCTTATTTATAGCTGATCTATACGCCGGCAGATGATACGATTAATACAGACAATCTGACCGCTCAACAAACAGTGTGGGAGTTTTCTACTGATAACGACGCTGACACACAAGACCGTTTTTGGAAATACCGGCCAGGGGTGACGCGTAAGGCTATACATTTCGTTCGAACAAGCTATTAATATGCTTATGAATATAGCGAGTTCTATAAACATTTACATTTTGACATTTAGGCATTATTATTAACATAGAAATTTATATTGGCCCAGTGATCACTAACCAGCATAACTTGAAAAATTAGTGTTATGTGATAAGTTAATTTTAGCACGGAGTTCTATGGGAAATGTAGATCAGCCGTGAACAATCCAAAATGCCAAATGGCATGCTATTCAGTTTGCCACATTGTTTCAGAACGAACTCATAAAACTGGGCCCCAAACACACAACACTTAACGTCATATCACGAATAGCAGAATCAATCTATTCATGTGTGTAAAACATTTGTTAACATATTATTAAAACAATCGTCACGAAATTACGCATTTAATTCCGGTTCTGATCAAAGAAGATTAATATTGGTATACCCTTCACCACACTGTTGTACAGGGTATTATGTCTTTGTGCATATCTTTGTAACAGATAGACCCTCACTTTCTTAGTCGATTTATGCATGTTCGCCCGTCCGTCTGTAGATGTTAAATTGTAAACAAAGTACAGATTGCATTTATAATCAGATTTGGATGAAATTTGTCACAGCTCATTTATTTGGCCCAAGGATGAACCCTATTTAATCGGTTCAGATTTAGATATAGCTCCCATATATATTTTCGTCCGATTTTAGGTAAATTGTGCACTAAAGTCCTTATATATCTTTCGATTTGCACGAAATTTCGTATAGTCTACTAAATTAAGTCTAGAATGATGTGTGCTATGTTTCGTAAAAATCGGTTAAGATTTAGATATAGCCCCCATATATAGCTTCGCCCGATTTTAGGTAAATAATGCATATCTTCCCAATCTATCGATTTGCACGAAATTTGGTATATATATGTTTTCGTCCGATTTTATGTAAATGGTGCACTAAAGTCCTTATATATCTTACGATTTCCACGAAATTTGGTATAGCCTACTAAATTAAATCTAGAATGATGTGTACTAAGTTTCGTGAAAATCGGTTCAGATTTAGATATAGCTCCAATATATATTATCGTCCGATTTTATGAAAATGGGGCACTAAAATCCTTATATATCTTTCGATTTGCACGAATTTTAGTATAGCGTACTGAATTAAGACTAGATTGATGTGTTTTAAGTTTCCTTGAAATCGGTCAGATTTATATATAGCTCGCACACATTTTCGTCCGAATTAATGTAACCGGTGTTCCGAAGTCCCTATATGTCTTTCGATTTGCAACAAGTTTGGCATAGCGTACTGAATTAAGTCTAGAATGATATGTGCTGTCCTATTTTATGTTATGTTATTTAATGTTCCCTTAGGAGAAACACTGGCATGAAATTGTTAGAATACATAGAATATACCCAAAGTGGCCCAGTCCGACTTTACTACTTTCCTTACTGGTTTTTAATAATGATCGCTAATTATTTAAGGAATGACATAGACAAACAATTATATTTTTTGCAAATTTTTGGTCGCTCTAGAGGGCAAAACGGACCAGAACATTAAGGAAAAACGGACCTGATCAAGAATTAACCATGTCTCTTTTCAAGATAATCTGTCAATACATAGTGGGTGAAATGAACCCAGACTATTGTGTGAATGAATGAAAAACTGAATTCACTTCGGGGAAACATGATAAACTATAGATCCGCAGAAATTTAAAGTTCAGTGGTAGTTGTGTAGGGTATCATATTGTCAACCCCGTCACTTTTTTGTTGTAGAACATGTTGTTATAAATCTGTCTCAATATTTTGAGAGAAAATGAAACATGCAATCAGTTATGTTTTGCCAGCTTCTTAAACTGCTCTTTAAGCGCAGGTTCGATCAATTGCAGTGTCCAGTATTAAATATTTTAGGTCAAGCATAAATATTTAACAAAAAACATACGTTTTTTAACTCAGCTAAATTTGCATTATATGGGTACCAGATCTTGCAGATATTTAAGAAAAAAAAAATAATAAAAAAATGTTTGTTCACAAAATTTAAATTTTATTTGTTAATATATTATTACACATACAATTCGTATCATCTCCAAACCGACTTCATATCAATTCTAAACCGACCCTTTAATTGTGTCCTCGGCCTTCAGGCTTTACATTCTCCTTCCCAGCTCAGATTCAATACGGTCCTAAGCTCTGCGCTTGTCTGCTTCCCTTGAGTGTGTCATAAATTCTTTCAACGCCATCGGTACAGAGACCGAACAATTTAATACAACTTTTTATAGAGACCAAACGGCCCTCTGTAATTAGTGATAAAATTCAAAGAAAGAGACCTACCGGTACTCTTAACGTTTAATTCCAACTTGGGAGGAAACGGTCCTCTGTATTTTTTGACAAAATAAAAAAAGAGAACTATCAGCACTCTTGACGGTTAAGTCCAACTTGAGACCAAACGGCCCTCTGTAATCAGTTGTTAAATCCAAAAAATGATTTATACTATATTTCTAATGATTAATACTATATTTGAGACACAGCGCCCCTCTGTTAATTCTCACAATAATTCCAATAAGGAGACATGTCGGCACTCCTAATGATTAATACTATATTTAAGACCCAACGGCTCTCGCAATACATCCAAAATTAAGGAAGCGAGGTAGTGTCGTATATTTGAAAAAAATCAGTAAGGAAAGTAGTAAAGTCGGACTGGGCCGACTATATGATACCCTTCATCACTTTGGGTATATTCTACATATGTAGAATATATCTGAACCGATTTCCGGGAAACTTGCCAGAGACTAATTTATATTACATCAGTACGTTGTATAAATCGGCCTAGCTATAGATCTTTTCACGAAGTTTAGCAACATCATTCAAAACTTAATTCAGTACGCTATGACAAATTTCGTGAAAATCGAATGATTTTTAGAGATTTTGGTGAACCAATTACCTAAAATCAGATGAAAATATATATGGGAGCTATATCTAAATCTGAACCGATTTTCACGAAACTTTGCACACATTATTATAGACGCAATTCAGTACGGTATGCCAAATTTCGTACAAATCGAAAGATATATAGGGTCTTTGCACCAATTACCTTAATTCGGATAAAAATATATATGGGAGCTATATCTAAATCTGAACCGATTGTCACGAAACTTTGTACACATCATTCTAGTATTAATTCAGTACGCTATGTCAAATTTCGTGCAAATCGAAGGATATATAGAGACTTTGGGGCACCATTTACATAAAATCGGACGAAAATATATGTGGGAGCTATATCTAAATCTGAACCAATTTTCAGGAAACTTAACACACATCATTCTAGACTTAGTTCAGTACGCTATGCCAAATTTTGTGCTGATCGAAAGATATTTAGGGACATTGGCGTACCATTTAACTTAAATCGTCCGAAAATATATATGGGAGCTATATCTAAATCTGGACCGATTTCCAGGAAACTTAACACACATCATTCTAGACATAATTCATTACGCTACGCCAAATTTCGTGCAAATCGAACTATATATAGGGGCATTGGTACACCATTTACATTAAATCGGAGGAAAATATATATGGGAGCTATATCTAAATCTGGACCGATTTTTCCCAATTTCAATAGGGTTCGTCTTTGGGCCAAATAAGTGACCTATGCCAAATTTCATCCAAATCGGACCATAAATGCGACCTGTACTCTGTTGATAAAAATACATGGACAGACGGACGGACGGACAGACGGACATGGGTAAATCGACTCAGAAAGTGATTTTATGCATATTCTACATATATATATATATAGATATATATAGATATAGCTCTGATATATTTTTCCGTCCGATTTAATGTAGATGGTGTGCCATAGCCCCTATATATCTTTCGATTTGATGAATTAAGTCTAGTGTGGTGTGTGCAAAGTTTCGGTTCAGATTTAGACTCCGATATATATTTTCTTCCGATTTTATATAAATTGTGCACTAAAGACCCTAAGTTTGTCCGATTGCCATACAATTTTGTACAATGAACTGTAGTTAATATAGATTAGTCTCTGGTAGATCTCGTTGAAATCGGTTCAGATTTAGATATAGCTTCTACATATATATTTTCGTCCGATTTTACACAAAATTTACACAACATTTTGCAAAACGTACTGAATTTAGTATAACCTACAAGTTAGATATAAATTCTGCACCAAATTCCCCAAGTGGGTCAGATTGGCACACAATTTTGCACAACGTACTGAAGATACTATAACATAACGTGTGTCAAGTTTTGTTGAAATAGGTTCATATTAAGATCAACGGGTGTCCGATTGATATTTGTCTTAAGTTGATTTACATAATGTTGTCCCATTGTAAGAAGCAACCCTATATCTGACATGTTTATGGATCCAATTTAATTTTGCTGTTCCTTAAAAACTGCGACGTATGTTAGGATTCATCTGTTGATTATACCCTAAGTGGTGAAGGGTATCATATTGTCGGCCCCGTCCAACTTTACTACTTTTCTTACTGATTTAGTGTGGAGATGTATGTGGTGATGCAGTTATGAGAACCTAAAATACCAAATGACAGGCAATTTTAATGAAAAACATGTCCAAAATGGGGGCTACCCTTAAACATCGGTCAATATTAAAAATTTTCAGTACGAAAGTGTGCTATACTGAAACTCGATATAATATTGAAAGTTGTTGGTTCGAAAATGTGCCATACAATGAGAATCCATGCCAAATTACTGCCATTACTACCAATCTATGGGGTACAAGTAGTAATTATTTAAAATAAATTATTGGTATATTTCTATAAAACATTTTTATTATCATACAGTTCCATTCTCACATTACTTATGGTGTAAAATCTTCATACGAAATACCTTTAGTGGAGAGTTTCTCCAAAATCCAAGAACGTAAATGCGGGACATTTGCATAAACACCAGGAATATTTTCGTGGCCACACTCGATACCCCATGCCACAATGCCAACCTGATAAAACCGACCTGTTGTACCAGGAAATGGACATACCAACGGTGATCCTCCATCACCCTGGCAGGTGTCTTTTCCCTTCTCACCGCCCGCGCAAATAAAACTTTCATGCAGTTCATAACGCAATCCAAGACGAGTCTGTCGTAAATTCTCTTCACATTGGTCATGCGGAACAATGGGTAAATCAATTTTCTTTAATATCGTCTGATATTGACCTTCTCTATTGAAGTTATCTTTACCCCAACCGGTGGCATAGCAACGTTGATTATCAACATTTATATTTGATTCTGGTAGACAGATGGGTCGAATATTTTCCTGCCATTCGAAGGGTTCATTGAGAATCAGTAAAGCCACATCATTGTGTGCGGCACCTTTGTGGAATTGTTCATGTCGGATTATTTCATATACCCTCCTATCGACATGTGGCAAAATTTCATTTGCGTTCTTAGTATCCCATTCACCGGCACGGACAATGAGCTCGTTAGGCTCAATTTTGATGACACAATGAGCACCGGTCAAGACCACATTTTTGGCTATCAGTGAACCACCACAGGCATACATTTCCCCATTAACATCCATGATGCGTAGGATGGCCACCATCCAAGGGAATTCTGCGAATTCGGCTTCATTATCGTAAGCGCCGGTAATTTTGAAACCAACGCCGATTTCGTTGCGCCAACCACAACCTTGGTGTACTATGGGCGGTTTGGGAGATACTACGGGAACCGTTGTCTAAAAAAAAAACAAATATATATTTCTATAATTTGAAGCAATTTGAGCATTACCTTTCTGCTTTGATCACAGCATATTTGATCGTATGTACACACCGCATCATCAGGTCGAAGATTAATCACACCCACACCATGTTTACTTACGACACCATCCAGGCACAGATGTCGTGGAACACATTCTTTATCAAGTCCACAAGGTTTATAGGATTTTTTCACTACGTTGGGTGATTCCGTCACTATTGTACCCGATGCTGGGGTAGTTGTATTCGGTTTAGTTTTAAATATACTTTCTATTAATTCGTGTATTTTCACACTGTCTACCTGACCATGAACTGAGCAAAGAATAAACATTAAACCCAACCACACAAATGTCACTTTGAACCGCATACTTCCAATGCTGTTGTGTAAACAAATTGAAAAAGTGGAATTGACTTCTTATTTATAGCTGATCTATACACCGGCAGATGATACGATTAATACAGACAATCTGACCGCTCAACAAACAGTGTGGGAGTTTTTTTGTATCTACTGATAACGACGCTGTCATACAAGACCGGCCAGGGGTGACGCGTAAGGCTATACATTTTGTTCGAATAAGCTATTAACATGCTAATATATAGCGAGTTCTATAAACATTTACATTTTGACATTTAGGCATTATTATTAACACAGAAATTTATATTGGTCCAGTGATGACTAACTAGCATAACTTGAAAAATTAGTGTTCCGCGTTACGTTAATTTTTAGCACGGAGGTCTATGGGAAATGTAGATAAGCCGTGAACAATCCAAAATGCCAAATGACATGCTATTCAGTTTGCTACCAACCACATTGTTTCAGAACGGATTCTTAAAATTGGGCCTCAAACACACCACACTTATTATCATATCACGAATAGCAGAATCGATCTAGTCAAGTGTGTTAAACATTTGTTAACATAGTATTAAAGCAATCGTCACGAAATTTCGCATTTCATTCCAGGTTCTGATCAAAGAAGACAAATATGGTTATAGCCTTCACCACACTGTTGTACAGGGTATTATGTCTTTGTGCATATGTTTGTAACAGGCAAAAGGAAACGAGATAGACACATGGTTCCTTTTGGGAATATGCATAGAATCATTTTCTAAGTCGATTTATATATGTCCGTCCGTCTGTCTGTCCATGTTAAATTGTAAACAAAGTACAGGTCACATTTATGATCCGAATTGGACGAAATTTGCCATATGTCACTTATTTGGCCCAAGCACGAACCCTATTGACATTGGGAGAAATCGGTTCAGATTTAGATATAGCTCCCATACATATTTTCGTCCGATTTAAGGTAATGGGTGCACCAAAGTCCCTAAATATCCTTCGATTTGCACGAAATTTGGCATAGCGTACTAAACTAAGTCTACAACGATGTGTGTTAAATTTCGTGAAAATCGGTTCAGAGTTAGATATAGCTCCCATATATATTTTCGTCCGATTTTAGGTATATAGCGCACCAAAGTTCCTATATATCATTCAATGTGCACGAAATTTAGCATATCGTACTGAATTGAGTTTAAAATTATGAGTGTTAAGTGTCGTGAAAATCGGTTCAGATTTAGATATAGCTCCACGAAATTTGGCATAGTGTACTTAAAAAAGTCTAGAACGATGTGTGTTAAATTTCGTGAAAATCGGTTCAGATGTAGATATAGCTCCCATATATATTTTCGTCCGATTTAATGTAAATGGTGTACCAAAGTTCCTATATATCTTTCGATTTGAACTAAATTTGGCAGAAAGACTGAATTGAGACTAGACTCATGTGTGCTAAGTTTCTTGAAAATCGGTCCAGATATATATATATATATATATATCATATATATTTTCGTCCGATTTAAGGTAAATGGTGCACCAAAGTCCCTATATATCTATTTTGATTTGCACGAAATTTGGTACAGCGTAAGGAATTAGATCAAGAATGATGTGTGTTAAATTTCGTGAAAATCGGTTCAGATTTAGATATAGCCCCTATATATTATCGTCCGATTTAATGTAAATGGTGTACCATAATCCCTATATATCTTTCGATTTGCATGAAATTCTGAACTCTATGAGTTCTGAATTAGGTCCAGAATGCTGTTTGCAAAGTTTCGGTTTAGATTTAGTTATAGCTCCCATATATATTATCGTCCGATTTGGGGTAAATGGTGTACCAAAGTCCCTATATATCTTTTGATTTGCACAAAATTTACATGAGCTACTGAATTAACTCTGGAAATATGTGTGTTAAGTTTCGTTCCTATATATCTTTCGATTTTCACGAAATTTTGCATGGGGTACTGAATTAAGTCTAGAAATATGTGTGTTAATTTTCCTGAAAATCGATTCAGATTTAGATACAGCTCCCATATATATTATCGTCCGATTCAATGTAGATCATAGTTTTTATATATCTTTCGATGTGCTGAATTAAGTCTAGTGGGTGTGTGCAAAGTTTCGGTTCAGATTAAGGCTCCTATATATATTTTCTTCCGCTTTTATGTAAATAGTGCACTAAAGACCAAAAGTTTGTCCGATTGTCATACAGTTTTGTACAATGAACTGTAGTTAATATAAATTAGTCTGTGGCAAGTCTCGATGAAATCGTTTCAGATTTAGATATAGTTTCTACATATATATTTTCGTCCGATTTTACACAAAATTGACACAACATTTTGCAAAACGTACTGAAGTTAGTATAACCTAGAAGTTAGCTATAAATTCTGCACTAAACTCCCCAGGTGGGTCCGATTGGCACAAAATTTTGCACAACGTACTGAAGATACTATAGCATAACGTGTGGCAAGTTTTGTTGAAATAGGTTCATATTAAGATCAACGGGTGTTCGATTGATATTTGTCTTAAGTTGATGTACATAATGTTGTCCCATCTGACAAAATGAACAATTTAGTATAGGTTGCAGAATGACATGTTTATGGATCCAATTTAATTTTACTGGTCCTTCAAAAATGCGACGTATGTTAGGATTCATCTGTTGAATATACCCTAAGTGGTGAAGGGTATCATATTGTCGGCCCCGTCCAATTTTACTACTTTCCTTATTGGTTTAGTGTGGAGATGTATGTGGTGATACAGTTACGAGAACCTAAAATACCAATTGACAGGCAATTTTAATTAATAACATGTCCAAAATCCCCATATTTGGGGATACCATAGTGTGTGCTATACTGAAACTCGCGTCAATATTGAAAGTGTTTGGTAGGAAGATGTGCCATACAATGAGAACCCATAATACCAAATTGTGGCCAATGCGGTTGGAAAACCTGTCAAAATCCTCAAAATACCGAGTTTTGGGGGTACCGTTATATGGATCAACTTTGGTCAATATTAATAATTTTTGATACGGACATATGGGATACCACGCGAACCCAAAATGCCAAATTACTGCCAATTCGGTTCGAAAACGTGTACAAAATCATCAAAATACCGAATTTTAAAGGTGCCGTTATGTGGCGGCTGATCAAGAATATGAATGCATTTATTTCGAGGTGTTGGAAATAGAATGACATTCCACCTTCTGGTGGGAGTTATAAAAACGTGTTCAAATGCTTTTAAATTCCGAATATTTTGGGGACTACCCTAGAAAGTGATCCGATGTATGCGATTTTCATTACAAAATATCCTATGAATAGTGGAAATGTATGCTTATTTTAAAGCTGTACTTAGAATGTTTTGAGCTATATCTCGATTTCAACAGACGGATCTTTATTGCTAATTCTGCATCGATTTTTTTTTTTGATCAAGAATACATATACTTTATGGGATCTCAGATGAATATTTCGAGGTGTTGTAAACAATTTTATTGCATCGGATAAAAAAAACCATCTGATGTATTATAGCAGAAGTGTGTCTTAAACGTTAGATATGTGCCTATATTGTTTCCTTCGGTATGTTACAAACATATGCAAATATATATTTAACAATGTACCCTAGTTTGGTGCGGGGTATAAGTCGTTATTAGTTAAAATAAATTAATTGCATTTTTCTATAAAATATGTTTATTATCATAAAATTCCAGTCTCCCCTTACTTATGGTGTAAAATCTTCATACGAAATACCTTTAGCGTTGAGTTTCTCTAAAATCCAAGAACGTAAATGCGGGACATTTGCATAAACACCAGGAATATTTTCCTGACCACAATCGATACCCCATGCCACAATGCCGACCTGATAAAACCGACCAGCTGTGCCAGACACAGGACATACCAACGGTGATCCCCCATCACCCTTGCAGGTGTCTTTTCCCTTCTCACCACCCGCACAAATAAAACTTTCATGCAGATCAAAACGCAAGCCAAGACGAGTCTGCCGTAACATCTCTTCACATTGGTCATGCGGAACAATGGGTAAATCAATTTTCTTTAATATCGTCTGATATTGACCTTCACTATTGAATTTATCTTTACCCCAACCGGTGGCGTAGCAACGTTGATTATCAAAATGTATATTTGATTCTGGTAGACAGATGGGTCGAATATTTTCCTGCCATTCGAAGGGTTCGTTGAGAATCAGTAAAGCTACATCATTGTATACGGCACCTTTGTGGAATTGTTCATGTCGGATTATTTCATGTACCCTCCTATCGACATGTGGTAAAATTTCATTTTCGCTTTTAGTATCCCATTCACCGGCCCGGACAATGAGCTCGTTAGGCTCACGATTGATGAGGCAATGGGCGCCGGTCAAGACTACGTTTTTGGCTATCAGTGATCCACCACAGGCATACATATATGCAATTTCCCCATTAACATCCATGCTGCGTACGATGGCCACCATCCAAGGGAATTCTGCGAATTCAGTTTCATTGTCGCGGGCGCCGGAAATTTTGTAACCAACACCGTTTTCGTTGCGCCAACCACAACCTTGGTGTACTACGGGCGGTGTGGGAGCTACTACGGGAACCGTTGTCTAAAAAACAAATACTTTTTTTATAATATAAAACGTATTAAGAAAAAATATTGAGCATTACCTTTCTACTTAGATCGCAGCATAATTCATTGTATGAACATACCGCACGATCAACTCGAATATCAATCATACCCACACCATTGTTATTTACGACACCATCCAGGCACAGATGTCGTGGAACACATTCTTTATCAAGTCCACAAGTTTTATAGGATTTTTTCACTACGTCGGGTGATTCCGTCACTTTTGTACCCGAATCTGGGGTTGTTGTATTCGGTTTGGTTTTAAATGTGTTATTAATTAAATCGTTTAAAGATATTCCAGTCTCTGGTTTAGTTTTAAATGTATCATTTATTAAGTCGTTTAACGACACTCCCTGACCATGAACTGGGCAAAGAAGAAACATTAAACCTAACCACACAATTGTCACTTTGGGCCGCATACTTCCAATGCTGTTGTGTAAACAAATTGAAAAAGTGAAATTCTCTTCTTATTTATAGCTGATCTATACGCCGGTATGTGATATGATTAATACAGACAATCTGACCGCTCAACAAACAATGTGGGATTTTACGCTGCTGATAACGATGTTGTGCTGATTTTCTCAAGCTGAACTGGCCAGCTTATCAACAAAGCAAATGGCTATTAAGAAATATATAAATAGGAACATTTATTGCATTTTGTGGGCAGCCGGCAATTTTTTAATTGAGAACACAATTGAGCACACAAGACCATTTTGGGAAATACCCTTCAGGGGCGTCGCATTTATTTATACATTTTGTTCGAACAAGCTATTAATATGTTTATATATATAGCGAATTCTATGAACGATCAATAAAGATCACAGTTTTAAAACAATCATCAAGAAATTCCGCACTTAATTCTGGTTCTGATCAAAGAAGACCCCAATTGTTTTTAATAATGATGGGTAATTATTTTGGGAAATAAAATGGACCAACAACTTTATTTTTGTCGATTTTTTTGGTCGCTCTTTTAATGATAATCCGTCAATATTTAGCGAATGAAATGATACCAGACTTTTGTGTAAAAAACGCACTTAAATAATATTCATAGGAGACCTTAACCAACCAGGCACTTCTTTTATGAATTGTGCAGCCAGGATATTTAGGGGCCTAATAAATGAAAGACTGTACAATTGGGTGGAAAATCATGATGTTTTAACTGAATTTCAAGCTGGTTTTCGGAGAAATTACATGACAGCTGACAATATCTACAACCTAGCATCAATCGTAAAACTTAAATTTAATGAAAAGAAAAAGGTTTGCTCTTTTTTCATCGATTTCAAAGCTGCCTTTGATAATATATCAAGACAGGCTCTTATCTATCTCTTCATATAGAAATATCGAAAAAATGGTCACATTGATTGAAACCAATCTGCAGTTTGGAACGGAAATGAGCTCTCGGAATACTTTGCAACAACTAAGGGAGTTAAACAAGGATGTCATCCCCATAATTATTTGGCCTTTATATAAACGACCTACATGAGTACATTGAAGGTGGATTGTTTGTTGAAAATATTAACATACGAATTCTCCTATATGCAGATGACATTGTTCTTCTATGGGACGATATAAATGTTTTACAGACTATGATAGATAAATTGGTAATGTATTGTAAACTTTGTAGCTTAGAGGTGAACTTATCCAAATCCGAAATTATGGTTTTTAGAAATGGAGGACGACCAAGTAAAAATGAAAAGTGGACTTAAAAAGGCATCGAGATGAAGGTCAGAAACGGATTCAAGTATTTGGCGGTTACATTCACCCCTAAGATGAAATTTCATAAGCATGTGCAGAATAGATGTAAGGAGGCAAAAAACGCAATAAAAGCTACTTGGAACCAATTCATAGGAAGAACGGATGTAGTAATGAATGCGAAATGGAAACTTTTTCTAACTGTCTGTAGATCCATACAAACTTATGCTGCACAAATTTGGGGGTTCTCTTATTTCGAAGAAATAAACAAATTGCAGAAATACTTCTTAAAGAGAATTTTGCATGTACCAAGTTTTACACCAAACTATGTGCTGATGCTGGAAACTGGTGTGGAAGATACTCAATTCTACACTCTAGGACTTCACCTAAACTATTTAAGCAAATCTATGTTCCAGTATTCAAACAAAAAACTTCCGAAGCAGCTATGATAGCTTATACTACGAAAAAATACATTTTGGGCAAAAGAATTGAATGAATTGGCTCAACAGTTTAACATATCATGGTCACATATGATGTCGTCCCCAGATAATTGGAATATTTTCTGTACAAGTTTAATGAGCAACATAAAAGCCCGATTGAAGGAGGAAAGGTTATATAGAAAACAATGCAGTCAAAGTCTGCGTATATATTAACCTTTGAACCCGGACAGAGACCAACACTACTTAAATGAAAAATACACACACGAACAAATAGGTTGGATATTCAAAGCTCTCGGCGGAATGATCCCTCTGGCATATAACACATTTCATTCGGAATCGACATCAAAAGTATGTAAACTATGTAATTTACATGCGATTGAAACACTGCAACATTTCTTAGGAACTGGCCCCGTTCTTCGAGAATTCAGAATAATATCTTTACAAAAACCAATATTGAATGAAGCGGAAATAATTAAAATAATTAAAATAATAAAATAATATTTATATTATATATTTTAATTATTTCCGCTTCATTCAATAAATTAACACATTACTTGGAAAAAACCTATATATATACATATATGTTGAGTGACAGACGTTTTATTTAACATTGTCACAAACATATACAACTTCTTTATAACTGATGTTAAATATATTTTGTGAAATGAATTGCAAACATATTTAATCAATAAAGAAGTACTACTACTAAAAAAACCAGTAAGGAATGTGGTAAAGTCGGACGGGGCCGACTATATGATACCCTTCACCACTTTGGGTAAATTCAACAGATGCATCTTAAAATGCGACGTCTGTATTTTTGATTTTCACGCAACCTAACACACATCATTCTAGACTTTATTCAGTACGCTGTACCAAATTTCGTGGAAATCTAAAGGTATACAGAGACTTTGGTACACCATTTTCCTTAAATCGAACGAAATTATATATGGGAGCTATATATAAATCTGAACCGATTTTTATGAAACTTAGCACACACTACTCTAGGCTTAATTAAGTACGCTGTGCCAAATTTCGTGCAAATCGAAAAATATATAGGGACTTTGGTGCACTATTTCCCTAAAATCGGACGAAAATATATATGGGAGCTATATCTAAATCTGAACCGATTTTTCCCAATTTCAATAGGGTTCGTCCTTGGGCCAAATAAGTGACGTATGCGAAATTTCATCCAATTCGAATAATAAATGCGACCTGTACTTTGTTTACAATTTAACATGGACAGACAGACGGACAGGACAGGACGGACATGTATAAATCGACTTAAAAAGTGATTATATGCATATTCTCAAAAAGAACCATGGGTCTATCTTGATTCATTTTGCCTGTTACAAACATATGCACAAAGACATAATACCCTGTACCACAGTGTGGTGAAGGGTATAAATAGTCACTTCGGGGAAACATGATGAGCTAATAAAAATTTTATTAATGGAAGAGGTCGGATAGGTGTCTACATATTTTAATATTACCATTATCACACTCTTAATATATTTAAAGTTCAGTAGTAATTTTGTAGGGTATCATATGGTCGCCCCCGTCCGACTAATCCGCTCACTGGTTTACTCTAGAAAATGGTGTAATAAATATGTCTTCATATTTGAGAGAAAATTAAACCAGGAACTATTTATTGTAGACTGAAGAACTGAAATCCTATATCTTTTGCCAGGTCCTACAACGTTTCGTTAAGCGTAGGTTCGAGTATAAAATATAAATGTATAAATGTCCAGTATAAAATATTTTAGTCCAAGCATACATTTTTAAATTCAGCTCAGTTTGTCTTATATGGGTATCAGATCCTGCAGTGGTTTCAATTTTAGGAAATATATATGTAGTAGCCCTCGTATTCTTTTAAGCAATCGAACATCTGTGTTCCTTAAAATATTTATAACAATTAAATTGTTGACCTATCTTACAAAATTGTATATTCAATTAAAATTTAATAGAACTTCCATTCTACTATCTACGTCTATACAAATTTACAAAAAAAATTGTTATTTTGTTTTACGTTTCCCCGTAGTTTGTTTATTTTTCCCTTCGCCAAAATTGTCACATTCTCTTCGGCACAACATAGACAACCCATGGAGTTTTTTTTTTCTAATAAAACTAAGCCCTAGACTCATCTGGCTGGCAATGTTAAAGCATCGATAAAATAATGAATGTGTTAGATGAACAATTGTATATTTGTTAGTCATCTTCTTCTTCTTGATTGCGACTGTTGTTGTAACGACAATGTCTCATTTGTTGTAGAACAACGTTTGTGTTATTATTTTATTGTATTTGTTTCGCTTTCCCTGAACACTAACCGTCACCATTGTTCTACGCCAGTGAGAATTCACTGAAATTTGTTTTGCGATTTCTATTATTTAGATTTCTACGATGAGTGTTGGAAAAGGTTTTTTGTTTTTGTGAGGGGTAAGAATTTCTTTTAATATTTATTTCTGCATACATTATTTTTAGTCTAGATATTTGTTAAAAATTACTTACAATAATCACACGACAATTTAAGTTTTTATACCCTTCACCACACTCTGGTACAGGGTATTATGTCTTTGTGCATATGTTTGTAACAGGCAAAAATAATCGAGTTAGACCCATGGTTCCTTTTGAGAATATGCATAGAATCACTTTCTGAATCGATTTATGCATGTCCGTCTGTCCGTCCGTCCGTCTGTCCATGTTAAATTGTAAACAAAGTACAGGTCGCATTTATGATCCGAATTAGATGAAATTTGGCATAGGTCACTTATTCGGCCCAAGGACGAACCCTATTGAAATTGGGAAAAATCGGTTCAGATTTAGATATAGCTCCCATATATATATTTAACCGATTTAATGTGAACGGTCCCTATATATCTTTCGATTTGCACGAAATTTGGTACAGCCTGCTCATTTAGGTCTAGAATAATGTCTGCCAAGTTTCGTGAAAATCGGTCCAGATTTAGATATAGCTCCCATATATAGTTTCGTCCGATTTCATGTAAGTGCACCATTTACATGAAATCGGACGAAAAAAAATCTCTATATATCTTTCGATTTGCACCAAATTTTGCATAACGTACTGGCTTGGGCCTAGAATTATTTCTGCCAAGTTTCGTGAAAATCGGTTCAGATTAAGATATAGCTCCCATATATAGTTTCGTCCGATTTCATGTAAATGGTGCACCAAAATCAATATATATCCTTCGATTTGCACGAAATTTGACATAACGTA